GGACAGCGGGCTTCTCGAACTAGTACACCGTCGCTCCACCAGGTGGTTTGATCACTGTGGAGGAATGGAGTACGCCCAAAGTTTGTAGGAGCTGGGGCTGTTCTCTTTCGAGAAGAGAATAAGAGGCAACCTAATAGAAGTATTCAAGATAATAAAATGCTTAACGCAGACAGAGGGCGCCAATGAGCCCATTTTTAGTATGAGAGCTAGTGAAACCCTTAGTGGAAACGCTCCGATGCTGAAGAAGAAAAGACAGACTGGGTATCATAAGTCACTTCTTTGCAGAAAGAGTGGTGAATGACTGGAATAAGCTGCCGAGTGGAGTAACAAAAGTTGATAACGTAGAGCAATTCAAGCTGCAGGTTGATAAAGCATGGGGTAACATATTTGGCGAGGAATGAAGAACACACCAGAGAAGTTGCATCACAGTTACTGAATCAGTGGTGCTCTTTTTCACACTGCACTAATTACTTAATTTTTTAGTTTTGTATGCGTGCAGGTCTGTAATAAAAGCTTACACAAAGCACGATAACAGAGAATCTACAATTCCCTGAAGACCTTACCGTCGTCAATTTGAAGCAATGGGGGTTCCAAGAGCCCATCAGAGCAAGAACCTGGACAATTGGCATCTCACCGTCAAGTCCCGGATTCGGTTACCGTGGTGGATTGTTTGTTTTGTAGCGTGTGGCCTAACTCAAAGAAGTCTTCTTCAAAGCCCACAACTCATCCCACGGTGGATCCAGGTCTGGCTGGTACCGACTGATACTCGCCTAAATGTCAGCTCAGGATGCTAAGAAAGTGAACCTAGACGTTAGCGGTTGCCTTCTAGGAGGAAACTCGGTGAGTCCAGCGTCCGCGTTAACTTTGGCTTGTGGTTGTTGTTTCTAGACAGTGCATGTTCTCGCCTTTCATTTTCCATTTTAAATCTTTTTCGTTTGATGTTATAATGATCCCAAGCTATAATCCTTTACCTTAAGGCTCTTCAAATCTATTGAACTCCTCAGAACTGACCACCCGGACGCGGCAGATTATTTTCTGATGACCACGAGAGCTGTGAGCAAAAAATGCTCTCCAGCCGGAATGGCTAGTCCTTAAACTGAGGCCAGGTTATTTCCCTGTGAAAGATCAGATTGCCTGGTTAACGTAAGCGAAGGCATCTGCTGCGACTTTTGCGATACCTGGTATCACCGAAAGTGTAGCGAACTGACTATCAAGCCTACCAGCTTAACACCGAGCACAAATGCCTAAACTTGGTTTGTTATGGGTGCGCAAACATTTTTACGCTGGCAGCCAAAGTGAAGGCTACCAAGCTCGTTACCCAACCTAAATCGACTGTTCAGGTACTGGCACCACTAAAGCCGATTGATGGTAGCACATCGCAGAAAAGGACCAGGCCAACGTCTGCCTTGGACGAAAAGCTCACAGAGGTACACTGTAGCTCTCTCCTAGATGTCACAGCGATAGAAAGGAAGGGCGTTCAGCCCGCCATCGGCTACCGGAAAATGCAAATTCTTAGGAATGACATGACACTCCAACTGAAAGAGACAACTGAATCCCTAGCCAACCAAACCATTCGACTTGCCAAAGTGGCTATGTTAGCCCCATAGAATTCCAACAGCATGAACACCCTGGAGGCAAACACCAACATCGCTCTCGGGAGGTATAGGAATATAATAATCAAGGGCTTAGATGAGCTTTTATGTCGGATCACAAAGCAGAGGGAAGCGCTAATACGGCATCAAGCCACCCACCTCTTTAGATTACCAGGCACTCCTCACGCACCCATCAAGAGGGGGCCACAGCTAGGCGAATGGTTTCCAAAAGGGAACAAGGGGGGCCTGTGCTTGTCGAGTTCAGCAACCCTCGGCACCGAGATTCTTTTTCTCGCAGCTTCTACCCAAATGAGGGCAGAGACCAAGGGGGCAATATCAAAAGAACCAGACTATGTTACCAAGGGTCCACAGAAAATCTGCTTCCGAACGTAACACCAATGAAGTTACCCTCTTCAAGACCATCTAACATGGTATCCAAGGAAACACCTACTGCTGTTGTACCACCCAAAAGTTGGCCCGGGTTGCTTACCCAAGCCAACCCTTAGCCACCCAACCTAAAACGCAAGCCCAGGCTAGAAATGCCTGGCATACCCCGTAAGCCCACCGATGCAAAAACCGGAGGATGAACTCGGGACTAGAGCCCAAGTGCTACCCAAACGTTTCCACCACTAGCCACAGATCAGACCTGCGGGTGTTCAGCCTGCAGCCCGGGGAACAAATGGGGTGAATTAACCTCGGAGTGCACTCACTCCGACTGCATAGCGATAATTGAAACCTGGTTTCGACCGGAAGAAGACATCGAGTCGTTAAAACCAAAAGGTTTTAGCGTCTTAAGAACCGACATGAAAGACAATCGCATAGAGAAAGGGGCACTGCTTTTGACCAACGAGCAGCTCCAAACTGAAATAGTCGCTCCCTTAAACACATCTAACATCCAGGTAGCGGCCAATGCGATACATCTCATCACAAAGAAGCTGGCGGTAGGCTGTGTATTGCAGTCCCTCAGCATCCCAGTTGGAGGATGAGCAACTGCTCTCATACCTTGGACAGTTTGGCCCCGGGACAAACAGAGTGCTAATTTTGGGAAACTTCAATGCCCCGGAAATTGACTGGAATATCACGTGGGCACCACCAAGCGGCTTTAGTCACTTGCTAATTAATCCTTAGTCTAACAAGTCAACCAACCCACGCCTTATTGCATCGGGCAAAATCCTGGGCTATTGGACCTAGTCCTGAGTAAATATCCAAACGACGTGGTGGACTTGAAAACCTCCCCACACCCAAGTAGGAGTGACCATGCGGTCCTGCGTTTCTGTCTACAGGAAGAAAGCTTAATTGCTTACATTAAATGAAGGAAAGCTTTACATAGAATAAACAGTAACTCCCTCACTGCAAGAACTACTGAGCTACATTGGGGGGCGCGGCTCGACACCATAGAAGGTCTATGGACCACCATAAAGGTCAACCTCTCAATGCTCTGCTCTGAGTTTGCTCCGCTAAGGAAAAATTGCATAAACTGCAAACTCCCCTGGTGGTTCAGCAGGGTAGTAAAGGCACAAGCCCGAAAGCGTCAAGCTTTGAGGCAGTACCTCATGACCCGCAGTCACGAAAGATGTCTCCAGTACCTCAGGGAGAGAGATAGGGTGATCAGTGTCCAGACGGACCAAGAGGATAATACGCTCCTCCTTTTTGTTTGCCAATGAAGTGAAAAATATCGGTGATCCCTCTACAAATGCCACTCCGGACGACCTGGACGAAGTCCAGAAGTGAATGGATGAATGTCTGTTGCCGCTAAATGCTGGCAAGTGCAAACAGCTACTCCTAGGGTGATCCCTTGCAGAGACAAGGGTGATGAATGGCACGGGGCTCACACCGGTGGAAATCACTGATGAGGTCAGGGACCTGAGTATCCTTCTGAACGGTTGCCACCAGCCAACAAGACAGTGTCAGCTAGCCTCAGCAAAGGCTTCAAAGGCGTTGTTCTTCCTGAGAAGAGCAGTAACATCGACGGACACTGCAGTTTTACTGCCCTTCTATAGGACCCTGGTACAACCATACCTCAAATACTGCGTGCAGGCATGGGCGCCAAACCTTGTGTGCGATCAGAAGGCTATAGAAAACGTCCAGAGACACTTCACAAGGCGTTTTCCTGACCTGAGGATGATGTCGTATCCGAGGCGCCCGAAAAAGCTAAACTTGTTCACCCTATCTCATAAACGAATGAGAGGTGACTTATTGCAGGTATTCCAGATACTGAAGAGACTCTCACAGCCTAGCAGGCAACTCTTCCCCCTCAGTAATAACCCAGCCCTAAGAGGACATCAGCTAAAGCTGGTCAAACCTCGTATCTTCGTACTTCTCTCATAGAGTGGTCAACGTCTGGAATAGAATTCCTGATGAGGTCGTCTCGGCATTCACGCTGGAACTGTTTAAAAAGGTTTGATGAGATGTAGGACGTAACCTTCTCCGAATCAGCCTAAGGAAAGAATCGTCAGTCCTTGGTGGTAGCTATATCTCTAGCTTTCTCATACACCTCCCTCCCCCCATATTAGTTATTATTAACTATCTCATCCCATATACTTCACCTACCTTTACCTCTTGTCCAGCTCCAGTTCCCATACCCTCCCCCTGTACTAGCTTACTTTTCTTCTCTCATCTTAACCTATCTTCGCATGCCTGCGGGTGCTCTACTGTTTGCTGGAGGGGTACTCGGACCTCCTGATTAGCCTGTGACTGATCAGCTGGTGCTGCTATCATCGACAGCAAACCGGATTGGCGTATCTGCTCCGCAGCCGTACCCTTACACCACCAAAAACCGATCAACTCACTGTCGAAGCGTTACGAGACACACGTGGTCCGTAGACGTAAAAACCTGGACTACTATATTAGCTCAAGCCCTCAAGTCCTGTGAACTGTCCTGTCCTGCTCTTGCTAAAACATTTCAACTCTTTTGTATAAACGTTTTAGAGCTAATAGTTAGCTCTAGTATTTCATTTTATTTTTACTGGTATTGCATTACCGAGCTCTTACTTATTTAAACTGTTAACCGTCTTCTGTGTTAGTTGCACCCCGAAAGTCACTTCGGTAACGTTGTGCTTCCCGGAATTACCGCATAATCTGTTCTTTTTTCTCCATATTTACATCGTACCCCACTAGCATCCTTGCTTCCACTGGAGCAGTAGATCTTCATTAAGTTCCCCTTACAGTTAAGCCCACTCGCTTTATAGATTGCTAGATGGGTACCGGAGCCAAACTGAGGTCCCAAAAGACGACAAATGATAGGGCTGAGATCCCTTGTGGGAATGAAAAATGCGACAAAGATGTTTGAGATGGTATCTGCTGCGGTGCATGCAATGCGTGGTACCGCTCAAAGTGTAGCAGGTTGTTCACTCAGGCACCGGGCCATACGGGGACAAACACTGCTTGAGATGGGCCTGTCCAATCTGCATGAAAAGATGTAGTCTAATGGCTGCCCCGGAAAGTCGGGAAGATCGGGAATCCAGTGACGGCTTTACGATTGTAGTCATGGTCACGGTACTGGAGAAACGAAGCGTTACTCCGGACTGTGAAATGAACCAGAATATCTACAAAGGGCTGAAGATTATCACGGCAAAAGTGGAACAACAAGATCGCAGCCTGAGAGAGCTGGAGGAAAAAACCCCATAGGTTACGGAGGCTCTGAAGGGGCGGACGTAGCCACCGGCAGAAACCGGAATGCAATAATCAAGGGATTGCCGGAATCGTTCTTTCCAGAGGCCAAAAAGAGGGACAGAGAAAACCGGCACCACTAACCTAATGTTTTACGCTTAGCTGACATTCCAGGGCATGACGGTGCCTCCCTGATAGATCAACGAGCAACGCGTAGCCGAAATTGGATCCCAAAACGTCAACAAAATGAACGATTCAGCAAGTCTCTACGGTACTCGTCAGGTCAGGTCAGGTCAGGTCAGGTCAGGTTGCACATGACGGAAAAGGCTTTTGCCAACCAAGCGTCCAGATTCTTGCTTCGGTAGGAAGGTTTCTTCTACCAAAGCTTCAAAAATCGTTTCAGTCGCTGTCTTGCAACTGTTTTGCGGCGGGAAACTGGTTCCGGTACGATATCTGTAAGGGAGATTAATTGGAAAACAAATAGCATGTAAACCCTAAACAATCTCAGACCCTGCTTCTATACTACCTCTGGGTATATTTGGGT